TCCCCCCACACCCACCCACCCGCCCCTCCCCGCAGTGTGCGACAAGGCCACCGACGCGCACCTGGCGCGCGCGCCTCGCAGCGAGCAGGAGGCGGCGGCCATGTCTGCGGCGGTGTGGCGCGCCATGTGGCCCGTGCAGCGCCTGCGCCAGCGCGCCTTCTTCGAGTTCGGCATGGACGTGCTGCTGAAGCTGGACCTGGCGGAGACGCGCCAGTTCTTTGCCGCCTTCTTCTCCCTGTCGGACCACCACTGGCACGGCTTCCTCTCCTCCCGCCTCTCCTTCCTCCAGCTCATCGGCTTCGGCCTGTCGCTGTTCGCCAAGAGCAGCAACGCGGCGCGCGCCAACCTGCTGGGCAAGGGCCTGCCGGGCCTGGTGGTCATGCTGGCGCGGCTGACCACGCTCAAGTGAGGCCCTCGCTGCGGGTCCCGACCGCCGTGCCCGCCTTGTGTCCCCTCGCGGGGCGGCCGCCGGGCCATGTGGCTGGTGCGCCCCCTTCTCATCCTCTGTACTTTGCAACCCATTTCATTGGCACTTCTACGAGCTGTGGTGGTGGATAGCTGACTTGTAAGGGAGGCATCCTGAGAGGACGGATGTCATGCTTTTTCGGTTCCCAGCCCAGAACGTGCGCAGGCCGTGTTCCGGAAGAGTGTCAAAGTGTTTCTAAGGGCACCAGGACGCTTGTGTCCGGAGTGTGACGGGCGCAGATCGCGATGGGGCCCCTCCCCGAGGGCCTGCAGAGAATCAGATTGCATGCAGCACCCACAAGCTGATTTTTTCTTCATCCTGCTTCATTCCATCCATCCTTCCCGAACCTGCCACCCGCACAGCCCCTCCCACCCTCACTGCAGTATGTGCGGCCCTTCCCGCAGCTGCGGGCTGCCATGCCCACAAAGCCCCTTCCTAGCCGCTGCGCTCGACGAGCTGCCTGCCATGGACGATGTGGACGACATCTGCGACTGGCTGCTAGGCTCAGACGACGACGAGGCAGCAGGTGAGGGCCGGGGGAGGGGGATGCATGGCTGCTGCGGCCAAAGCGCAGAGTTACCGGCCAGCTGGGCTGAGATGCCCCTTGCACCCTGTGTTGGCTTTCTGGGGCGATGAGAGGCCCTGCAGTGTTGCCGCTGGCCTTGGCGGGCCACCCATATCTATGCTCTCACGGGAGCGCGCCACCCAGCCCGCGCCCCTCACTCTCTTCCCTTCCTTCCGGGCTCCTGCAGAGCTCAATGACAGCGTGGGACGCATGCAGCGGCGCAAGATGGAGACGGGCGCCCCTGCAGCCACCTCCGCTGCCGCTGCGCTCCCCCGCATGTCCTCCGCGCCTCCCACGTCTGTGTTCCTCGCGACCACCATGGCCACGCCCTCCCGCGCCTCCTTTGACGCACCGCGGCCCCAACGCGCCTCGTGCGACATGCAGCGCCCTCCGCGGGCCTCCTTCGATGCCGCCCGCCCGCCGCCCGCCTCCTTTGACGCCCCCCGCGCGCCGCTGCCCACCGTGCCCGAGGGCGGCGACCGCGCGGGGGTGCTGTCCTGGCTGGCGGGCTGGGGCAAGCTGGCCGAGGAGCAGGGATGCGGCGCAGACACGCCCTGCTCCAGCTCCGACGCCCCGCAGCAGCGGGCACCCATGGCGGCGCCGCCGCCGCTGCACCACGCGCGGCCCAGCCGCCCCGCGGCCATGGCAGCCGGCAGCGCCCTGTTCAGCATCAGCTGTGTGTCCAGCGGCGGCCAGGCCGGGGCGTCCGGCTCGCCGCCTGCCTCGCCCTTCAAGGCCGCGGCCTTCCTGGCCCCGATGGCGCAGCAGCCGCAGCAGCACATGGCGGACTGGTCCTCAGAGTCGAGCGACAACTCCTTCTCCCGCCTGCACAGCGACACCAGGTGCGGCGGCGGCCTCCCCCTGCCTGTGCCTGGGTTGGCGCCGAAAGGCTGGACCCTCCGCCCTGGTCCTTGCCCTGCACTGCACGGCCCCCCATCCGCTCACCTCCCTCCCCCCTGCCCCCCGCCCCGCCTTGCAGCGCCCACCGTTGCAGCGTGGATGAGCAGAGCAGCTCCTGGTCTAGCTGGCTGGCCAGCGGCGCCACCAGCCACCACGTGCGCTCGCCCACCCCCGTCCCCGCCCGCGCCAGCATGGACGGCTGGGCCGACAGCGGCTGCTGTGCCGCCTTTGTGGCGCAGCACAACAAGCGCAAGCGCGAGGCGGCGGCGGGATGCATGATACCAGCACCGGCAACAACCGGCAGCAGGACCAACAACCACCAC